AAATCTTTGCCAGTTTAATACAACCTTCATTCATTATGAAGAGGACATTCATGGGCCCTCTTGCCCGCCAGGCGCTGTGAGGGAGGCTGAGGACACAACCCCCCTCCACACCCCCTAGGCCTTATTCTAGGGTGAGATGAGACGAAAGTTTGTTTTTTTTCTCCTCCAGCTTTACTGACAAAAAGTGTATAAATTTAGGTTTTACAAAGTAGTGATTTAATATACATTATGAAATGGTGGCCACCGTGAAATTAATTACCATATCCATCCCCTCACATGGTTAGTGTGGGGTGTGTGTGTGTGTGTGTGTGTGTGTGTGTGTGTGTGTGTGTGTGTGTGTGATGAGAACACTTAAGATCTATTCTCTGGGCAGATTTCAAGTATATAGTATTTTTAACTATAACACCATGGTGTACATTGGATCTCCAGAACATACTCCTCTTACAGCAAAGGTTTGTACCCTTTGGCCACCATCTCCTCGTTTTCCCCCAGTTCCTGGCAACCACCCATCTGCTCTCTGGTTCTCTGAGTTCAGCATTTTTAGATTCCACCTATAAGTGAGATCATGTGGGAGTTGTGGAGGCTCAAGCTTCTGGAAGCTTTACAAATAAGACTGCTGCCTTCCTGGGCCCAGCCGATGGGAAAAGGACTGACTGCCCTAGTGGAGAAACCCATCTCAAGCCCAGAGAACTTTCTGGAAAATCCCTGAGCAGTTATATAAAATCCATTATCCACCCCCCCCTTCTGTAGAGTCCTGTCATAGTAAGCCTTTCGGGTGCCTTGCTTGATCCCCTGCACAACCTGGGCAGTGCCAGGAGCACGAGGCAGAGCCAGCACCCCTCCCGCCCCCCGACCCCCACCCCGTGTGCAAAGGCAAGGCCGGGTGCGGAAGACCCTACCTCATCACTGGGATGCAATAAAATGGACAGAGCCTCTGGAGCTCCTGCTTTTCCATAAGGCCCTGCTCTGGGCCTGGCCCGCCCAGTGTCCTTTGAAAAACCCTATCCGTTCACAGAAGGCACTGCTTGTTGACACAGACTGCCCGGGCCCTGGCTGGCATCCTTCCCACCCCCAGCAGGTTATAGCCCACCCCCGGCCCTGGCGCCACCTCCATGCAGCCTGCTCCAGGCAGCCCTTGTTGTTCATGTAACCTTTTCCCACACACCTGTGCTCCCAGCTCTGCACCTGACTGGCTGTGTGATCCCAGGCAAGCCATCTTCCCTCTCTGAATTTGTCTCCCTCTGTACCTCCCGGGCTGTGGTGGGGTGGGGGAGGGGGTATTCGCATGGGCTCTGCACAGCTGCAGCCGTAGCACGAGGAGGGGCCCCACCAGTGCACAGGTGTTGGACGACCGAGGGAGAGAATGGATGAGCCCCACCAGTCCACCCTCCGGTAGCTGATTTTGCACTCGGGTGGTCTGAACCGAAGATTATCACATCCAGGGGCTCCTAAGTGCCGCCTCGGCTTGGGATGCAGCCACCCTCTCCTACCCGCTACCAAACCCCATGTGAGGGTCCAGGCCCTGGAATCTATTTCAAGCCATGCTCTGGAGCAGCTGGGCCCCGAGAAAGGCAGGGCCTGCCTGGCCTCACTCAGGTCGCCGGACCCCAGCCCAGGCTCCCACCCACCCCTTCCCTGCTCCTGCAGGCAGCTGATCTTTGCTGGTGCCATCCCACCCTGGTATCTTGGGACAGTAGGGTGTATGTAGAAAGGGGGGTGGGTGTGAGAGGCACACTCACCACCAGCCCCCGGCCCAGGCAGCTGGGACCTCAGGATAAAGGAAATTTCCTTCTCTATTTATTTTCCACATCCTTGACTTTGAAAGCCAAGCTGGTGTTGATATTTACCTTGGCCGGGCCTCCCCATCTCCCCGGGCCAGCCTCGTGTAAACATGATGTTCTTTCTCTCAGCTCTGCTAGGGCTGAGGTGGCCTTTTGCAACCAGTTCTAGGAATTTTGAAAGTCTGAACGCGTAGGTTCAGGGACCAGCCCCCCAGGGAGCCCAGGGTGCGAGGAGCCCCAGGGCCCTCTGTGCTGGTGTCCGGCTCCCTCCCAGGGATTCAGGCGGAGGGCTGCAGCGGAGGCGGCAGCTGGGCGGGGCCTCCGGCCTCCTCACTCCTCTTGACGGGTGACGCCGTGAGAGCCCCGCTGTCCCCTTACGCCGCCCCCGTGAAGGTTGGCCCCAGAAGTCTTGGGCTCCCTGAAGACACAGAGCGACAGAGGCAAGATCTGGCTGTCTCCCCTGGGACTGGTTTCCCGAGGGACAGCCAGCTCATCCGTGCTTGTCCAGGGGTGCCATCTGTAGTCCGTTCGGCACCTGGAGCACGGCTGACGTGCCGCCCCAGGGCTGGGAAGTGTGTGCACAGGCCAGAGTCCCTGCCCTGGGAGGCCGTGAGGAGGAGGCGATTAGAGAGACAGGATGACCTGGGGCAGTGGTCAGGGCGGCAGAAACAGGAGCGGGCGGGGCTGGTCGGGGCAGGGATGGCGGCTGTGCGGTGCGCGTCGGGAGGTGAGGGGTGCTCAGACTCCCCGTTCAGATCCCAGCACCCCCGCCCCCAGGCTGGCCGCTGTTCGCCCGCTCAGCAGTGAGGCCCGGGCAAATGACTTCCCTTCGCTGTGATTTGCTTTCATTATACAAGAACTAGGGTGTCTCTGTCCTTAGTGACAAGGGCGTTGTGAGGCGCGCAGTGTGTCATCTGCAAGTGGGAGCCGTCATTTCTTTTGCTTGCTATCACACCACACAGATGTGAGGCCCCACCAGTGGGCGCCACCGGGCGGCTGGACACTGAATGTCTCCCCTTCTCCACACAGATCTGGGACATGAGCGACGATGAGACCGTCTGACATGGCCCACCCTTGCGTGGCTGGCTTTTCCCTGGCCGCCTGCTGAGGAGCCCTCGGTTACTGGAGCCGGACTGCCGCCCCCAAGATCGGTGATTCCGGGCCCTGCACTCCTCCAACCTTTGTGGTCTCCTCCTCTGTGTACCTTGAGGACCAGGGCCCCTTCACTGCCCAGGAGCTCCTGGGGTTCTCCATTTCTCATGATTCATGATCTTACCAGTTCTGAGCTAAATAATAACCTTGGCTTTGGCATTGCCATTGATCCGGGACTTGGTTCCCGCCACGAGTTCTTTTTTTCTTGTTGTCAAGTGTTCGATAGTCAAAACTCCAGGATCCTTCCCACCTTGGCCCCCATGGGGCGGCAATGAGGACAGGGAACAGTCAGCCCAACACACCAAATGGGGAAATGAGAAAGCAGCTCCTTCGGGCAGCCACTGTGGAGCGGCGGGGGGGGCAAGCAAGAGAGTCCCTGGGCTGCCCTGCAAACCCCAGAGAGGGGGGCCTCTGGGCACCAGTGCAGGCTGACGTCCTTGTGAGCTCCGTCAGCCTGGCCTGCTGGAGCGGGAGTGACGTGCAGAAGGGCCCGCACTCGTCCTACTGAACCCAGAGCTCCACTACGGACAGAGTCTGCCACCCAGACAGTTCCTCCACCTCCTGGCCTGTCCTCAGCTTTGGGCAAAGCATCTGTGCCTCCCTGCTCAGGGGAGGAAAGAAGTTTCCGCTGCTGCCTTGAGCTGGTGGAAGGGCCCAGGAACAGGTCTCAGGGCCACATCCTGGTAACGGCCTGGGTGGGAGCCCCTCCTGCCCCGGAGGAGGCCTCACACCCCCCAGAGCCCACTCCTCTGCGGCCAAGTGAGGGAGGCGCCTTCCCTCCTGAGGGCCCTCAGAGGTACCCAGAAGGCCCTGACTGCAGTATGTGGTGGCACACGGTCCAGGACACCCAGCGCTGGGCGTGGGCACTCAGGAGGGGGACGCACCCTCTCCACACTTGTGTTCTTGGGGTGGTCTCTTCTGCCTCAGGCCCGGGACCCAAGTCAACAGTGAGGCTGAAGGCGGACTCTTAGAAGGGTGGGGTTTCCGCGGGTCAGGTGGTAAATGGGGCTTCTCATGGAGTCGGAGCTACAGCCGCAGGGCGCCCCCCCACCCTGGGCCCACGGGTCACACGCACAGCCTGTGGTTTAAGAGCACTTTATTATTGTTCTTAAGGTTTTTTTTTTGTACAAAAAAAAGATGGCCTGCCAAACCTTTTTTTTTTCTTCTTCTTCCAGGAAAAACAGGCCACAGAGAATGGTATATTACAGATTTACAAACAAGGAGAGAACGGGCAGGACGCACCGCGACGGCGTGGCTCTGTGAAGAGCTCACTGTGCTCCTCCTGAGGCCAGGGAGTGTGTCCTTTCCCGGTGAAATGTTTGGTTTTCTGCCTCCCCGCGCGCCCGGGGCCCCCCGAGGGGCCCGCCTATCCCAGATAGGCCAGTGCCGGGGGCTGGGCCCGGGGAGCCCGCCCTTCGCAGAGCCCGCCGCCGCCGGCCGCTTCCCGCCGCCGCGCTCAGTAGCCTGGAGCAATAACAAACTAGTGGCTATTAAGGCAGATGCAGTGTTCTCATAGAATAACTGTGTTCCTGCACTTTTACAGACAAATCTACGACAAAAAAAAAAAAAAAAGATCAACTTTTTTTTCCAAACAAAAAATATGAATGATTACAATGGGAAAGGGGAAATTAAATAGCTACATATCATTAACAAATTAATTGTTCTTCAAAAAATACCTACAAATTTCTCTGTACATTCTTTACGCACAGCGTAATGATGGTCTTAAAGTTACCTATATAAAAAAAGTGTTCTCACCGATTTTTCCTACAGAAAATATAGGGGCCCGAATGCGAAAGCCTGGAAGCCCAGTTACGTGGGGGTGAAATGTGTGCAGGGGCAAGAGGAGAAGGGCTTTTCTTCCGCCTGTGGAAAGACCTGCAGCCACCCTGGGACCACAAGAGCTGATCTGCTGACCTTTCTGCCCAGTGATGATTTTCACAACCAGCTAACCTGTATTTTTCTTATACTCAAAACCAGCCTCGAGGGCTCCCGGGCGTCCACAGCGCCTCGCAGGGGAGGCAGGCACTCCTGTGTCACCTGGCCAGGCGACTCTGTAAGCCCTCTCTGGTGGCCTTCTGGAGGCTGGAACGTGGCAGGCGGGTGGGGGGATAGAAATGTACGTTTACCAAAAAGAGGAGCAGCTGTTGAACATCCACAGCTGTGTCCGTCATGCTTTCTTCTTTGCCTAATTTCTAGTTAGTAGCTATTACTCTAGCAAACGATAATAAATGCAGTGATAACTGTATAAAGTCAGAGGAATGTATACTGCCTTGGCCCCAGCGTATGAGGAAGCACAGAAAATACCATATCACAGATTGTCAGTAATCTGCTGTTCAGCCAAGAGGGTGGAAAGGGAGCAGTTTCTGCATGGAGGGAAGTTAGAAGACACAAACCCCAACTCCCCTGGGAGCTAGTAATAAGCAGACAGGGGATGCAAAAACTAAATGTCAGCCGGCAGCAAAAAACTCCAGCATCCTACACTGCGGCTGACCCACGACTGGCCTGCCCGTCTCCAGGGCCTGCCAGCCCCACACTACTCGGGAGTCATGTGAATATCAAACACAAATCTCAAAGAGTACAACTGTACCAGCAGTAAGTATATCTAGGACTGTAACTGACAAAAATAAACTAATTCTGAAAAGAAGCTAGTAAGTATTAAGGTTCTTGTTTACTAGATCTATACAATTAATAGAAACCAGCTATTTTTCTCCATTAAAACATGCATCACGTTGAAAGCACTATAGAATCCTCCAACCTCAGCTCTAGTCTAACAAACTGCAGTGTTTAGGAAAGGGAGAATGCCCGTGATTGGTAGAGTCTGCAGTCCAGTTGCAAGCACCTGAAATCTAGAGAGAAAGACCTATAACCTGTATGAGACTTCCCCTTCCAAAGCTGTTTTGTCTAAATTTAAAAAAAAAAAAAAAAAACACAAATGGTCAGAAATGTCATCCTTAAACCCTTTGTTTTTCAGCAGTTTGCCCTCAGAGTACTAGCATCTCACAAAGTTGTCCGGCAGGCAACTTTAGCCCTCCTCCAATAGTGCAAATCAGACGCGACAGTTCTCTGTTCTCTTCAAGTAGACGCACGCACGCACACACACACATGCACACGCGGGCCGGACCAAACACGCAATGGAAGCTAAGCCACACACACCCCGGTCTCAAGAAGCAAATTAAAAAGCACAAAGCATTTGGGTCACCGTCATGGCTTGTGACTGAGAAAGCGTGCGCCGTGGAGTCCTGGCCCCCGACGGGGCAGCACACCTGCATCAGAGGTTTCTTTGGTAACTGAGGCAGGAAGGCAGGACGCTACGTTAGCTCTTCCTCGTGCAGCTCCTGCTATGGAGTTTGAGGGCCCCCGGGTACGAATACCAAGCAAGTACAAAAACAGAACAAAAATCCCAACGACATGGTTTTTGCGAATAAACCATTTTTTTCCTCCCCTTTCCCCCTACCCCACCCCCACAATTTTTTTGTGTGTTTTTCCATTTTTTAAGCACTGACTGTTCAAAGCTCAGGCAAACCATGCAGATTGACATCTTGTTCAAGGGTGGCGCTCCCTTCACGAGACCACGGAGGGGGAGTGACTGTGGCTGACCATGTGCGCAGAAGGGCTGGCAGGCTGGCCCCTGCGCGAGGCCGACTCAGGGCTGCTGGATGTGCCGTCCTTGGCCGCCTTGATCTGAAGCCACGTGTCACCCAGGGCTTTGGCAAAGTGGTCGTCCACGGAGCCCGTGATGGACACCGAGTTGGGCGCCGGCTCGGGCTCCTTGTAGTTCTTGCCCAGGCTCCTGCGGAAGTGCTCCTCCACCACGGGGTCGCAGGTGGCAGTGGCTGTGGGGGAGCAGGACAGCGGCCGATCAGGGCTCTGGGGACAGAGGGCCCGTCCCCACCCACCCTGGCTTGGCATTTGGTCAGGTCTCCTCTCTGAACCTGTAACATGGCAGCGTGCCCGCCTGGGCGAGGGATGAGTTCAGAGAGAGAACATGGCCTTAAGATTGGTAGATCTTGTCCCAACCACAGTTTCTTCCCTGGAGGGTTCTTCCCTCTGTCCCGCTCAAGCCAGACACAATGCTCGCTGCATGTGTCTCATGCTCAAAACAAACCTCTTTCAACCTCAATAAAACCTAAGCTCCAGGGGCTAGCTGTTCTGTCCATGGCACGATGTAGAAGGAATGCAAACACCCCACGTGAATCACGGCCGCCGCCCGCCCCACGCGCACGGTGACTTGGTGACTTACAGCTCGGGGCCCTCCGGTAGCTGGCCGGCCCGGCCGCCGCGCAGCCACTGTGCGCAATGGGGCAGTGGGAGAGGTTGCAGTTGCGGGTGCTGGCCGAGGCGCACGTGATCACCGATGGCCGGTTCTGGGGAGAAGAGGAGGCTGTGGTTAGCTCTGGCTCGGGCGGGTGGACGCGGGGCGGTGGCACTCACCCCAGCTGGTCACCCCAGTCCTTATACACGTGCCGCAGCTGTGAGGCAAAACGAGTCTGTGTGTCCCTCCACCACCACGGGGGGCACTCTTCCCGCCTGCGGGGAGCCGGGGGCCGCCATCCATCGGGTCCCAGTCCTCTGTGCAAGGCCCTCAGCAGCACTGCGTCCACTACTCCGCTGCGAGCCTGTCCCGCAGCCCTTCCTGACAAGAGGCAAAGTGAAGGCCGGTCCGTCTGCCGCCCGGAGTGACCTTGCTAACGCACAGCAAACTCCCAGTGAGTGGGCCTCCGCGGGTGTGTGAGGAGCCTCCACAGCTCCTGTGGTCAAGTCCCCAGGGCAGCTCGGTCCCTGCCCTTCTCGTCATGTGCCCTATAGCCCAAGGGCTTCTCTGAGCCCTTCCAGTACCCTCCCAACACACTCCCAGTTTTTGCTTAAGCTAAAGACAGCTCAACTTGGTTTCTATTATGACCACACAAATCCTGATGGAGATGGAGACGCAGGAAGTACAACCAAGTATGAACTTAAGTGCATCCCACCCCTGGCCCAATTTGCTCTGCCGACGCACACTCCTTCCCCACGACCACCGCACTGTCTGCCTGGTAAAAACTGTTACTTGTTCAACCGTCACCACCTCCCCATTTAGCAAGTCAATCATGCCTTCCAAGTGCACCCAGAAGACCCCAGCACCTGGCTCCCCTAGCTGTGCACACTTCAGAGCAAGGACTAAGCATTTCTGGAGCCCCAGACCTCGGCAAGTATCCAGGACAGAAAACACCTGTAAATCAAACAGCCTCCTCAGGTTCTAGCCAGAAAGACATCTCCCGACAGCGCCGGAGACAAGGTAGGGGAGGATGTGCCTGGATTTCCAGGAAAACCAGAGGGGAGCTGGCTGAAGGGCCCCCTCAGAGGGCCCAAGCATAGGAACAGTGCCGATGTGAGGGCAGTCAGGGCTTCTCTACCTCTGGCCTCTCCTTTAAAGAGTTCAATCAGTAGCCAGGATAAAGACACAAAAGGCTTGCACAGCAAACCTTCCCATGATGGGAAATGAACAGGAGTGAAAAACATGTTCTGTGATAAAGATCTGGACCTACAAGGATGGGCCGGGACGTGCTTGAGCCTAACACCGAATTACTCACATTGAAGATGGGGGAAGACGCGGCTCAGCAGCAGCATGTAAAGGAAAAATTGGGGGTTTCATTACTAGCTCAACACATCAGCAATGGGGATGGAGTGAGTGTGACCCGTCACGGCGTGGACAAAAGTGGTGCAGAGAGAACGTGGCTTTGAGGCCAGGTCTGCTCTCCACATCAGACAGCACCTTCACCCTCTCCCCTCCACTTCTGCGCGTGTGAGACGGGAAGAGTAGCAGCTGACGAGGGGGCTGGAGGACCGCCTGAAGGTGAGAGTTTGGGGCCAAACCTGTGGTGGCAGGGGTCCTGCCCTTCAGGGCTGGTCTTGCTATCCCTGGAGGGCAGCCTGCAGCCTGGAGCCCACCTTCTGAAGGCTCTTTTTAACCCTGAGCCTGAGATCTCCCTGGCTCCCGTCTCGTAGAATGTGCCCTCCATCCATGAGGTGGGGCTAAGGCGGCCATGTCCATAAGTGACCTCTGCCCCATTGGCCAGGCTAGAAATGTGACCCGGGCTTGGGGCCAGCTACTAAGCCAGACTGAGTATGAGATTCAGGCTGACCTCAGAAGTCAGGGGGTGGTCACGCCAGGCTGGCTGTGTGGGTTGAGAAGCAGAGAGAGAGAGAAGGGGACACAGAGACGTGGACCGGCACAGAGCCAGGGGAGGGAGGGCCTGGCTTCCTCACCAGCCCTCCCAGGCAAGGGCTGGCCCTTCCTTCCTGATCCTGCCGTACCCATGACCCTGGGCTCCAGGAGACGCCCCAGGTCCTCCCAGTAAAACTCCCTTCCTTTTGTGCTTCCGTCCGCTCAGGCTGGTTTTTGTTCCTTGCAACTAAAGTCCTGACTGACGCAAATGTCACCAAGTGGGGTCATGTCTTGGGGAAGGGGTCATGGAAAGTGAAGAAATGTAAAGTGTCAGAGAATGAATTTGGGGAAGCTCAGAATAAAGCCAGAAGAATCAAGTCAACGTCCAGCCTAATGTCAGCCACTCGGGACAGAGGGTGGCCCCTGAGCAGGGACCAGCAAGGCAGAACCAGGGGTGAGCGTGGGGACACCGTGAAGACGTTCTAACCTCACTCCTGGTAGTAGCGGGTCATCTCCAGGACCCCTCCTGGCCGGGGACAGGCACATGGACAGCGGGCTCAGCCTCTCTCCTCCCTACAGCCCAGCCCAGGTTGGCCTGGCGGAGCGCTCCCAGGACGGGCCACACCACCTGCCCCCTCGGCCGGGCTACAGCGCCACACACCCACCCGGAACCGGCCTCCCGCCTCCAGATGGTGAGTGTGGGGAGCTCCGTGGCCCAAACTCCCCCGCCACACCCTCGCCTTCCAGATGGCGAAAACGAAGGCCAGAAACGAGTAGCCTGCTGGAGCTTCCGCAGCCAACCTGCAGCAGGGCCAGGCCAAGACTGTCACTCACACCCCACTCAGCCCTCACCCCGCCCCTGCTCTGGCCGCACCACCCCCCCCGGACCCCCGGCCAAGGCCGCCTTGGGGAAAAAGCATCCAGAAGAGAACCATTCTTGTTACTGTGTACCCCTATCCTGCGTCTCCTCATGGGCTGCTGTCCTCAAAGCCACTCCCGCCGGCTCTTCCGTAGCTTTCTTTAGGTCACACCATCCCCTGAGGCCGCCATCACAGAAACATGAAGTGGGTGACACTTTCTGCAGCCTCCCCAGACATGCCCTCTCTGGGAACCTTCCCATCCCATAGATCTGAGTGGGAGGCTTCCCCCGCCCGCCCTCCACCCAGCACTGTGCCGTTGCTCCAGGAAGCCCCATCCCCGTGCCTTCCCTGGCTCAGAGCCGCGGCCCGGCAGGCAGCCCTCCCCACAGGAGCCACCCTGACAGCGCGCCGGTGACACCCACCCTGGACGGCAAGGCCAGCCCGGTACCTGGCACAGCACTTGGTAACCGTCCGAGAGGAAGCTCAGGCTCCAGTGACCACCCAGGCCATACCACGCTGGCCCAGGAAGGAGCTCGACGAAGGGTCCCCAGGGCCATAAAACACATGCTTCTCCACCAACCCCGGCCTTGAAGTTTAGGCCTGGGCCGCTGACACATGTCAAGGAAGCCAAAGCCACTGTACCTGCCCCGGGAAAGCTATGAACTTATTCCACAGCCACTGGCTTTGTTCTCCATCCAGGAATCCCCTAAGAACTCAGGTGGGAATTCAAGGTCCTCAGTCCTAGAAAACCTGCTCAACAGCCCCACAGCACATCTGACGAGCCAGGGGCCCTCTTGCTGGACTGGGCAGCCAGGCACGCTTCGCAGAAGGGTTGAGGAGACCATGGTGAAAAGAGCCAGGTCACTCTGTCCAGTGGCACACTTCTCACACAGCAAATATGACCAGGATCAACCAGAAGACCCTCAAAGTCACAGAAACCCTTGCTCCAAGACAACACTACAGCTTCAGAGACAGCTGTTCTGGGCAGATAGTTCCAGGGGTTTCCAGGAGCTTCCTCCCCCAAGCCACCATGGGCTCAGAGACTGAACTTCCCAGTGGAGGCCCCCCGACCCCGCGCCCCATCGAGGGACTCCTCACAGCACTGGCTGAATTCCCTGATCCTAGAAACCAATCTCTGATGCTTAAACCCCCTCTCCTTTGGCCTCTTGAGCGCAGCCCTCCTGCACGCACCCACCTCCGTGACCAGACTGTGAGCTCCTTCCAGGCTGGAACTGCATCCTACACGCGTGTCTCTGTGTCTCCAGGACTTTGCAGCGCCCCAGGGCACAGTGCGCACTCCGTGAATGGAGGGGTAACTTGGCCTCCAGTTCCTATCAGAGTAAGTGGCTGTCTGCTACTGGATAACTGGTCTCCGCTGGACAAAAACCCTGAGTGCCTCTAGCTTGCCTGACCAGCTTCTAGCATCCTCCCCCTGCACACAGTAGGCACCTACCCAGTTTCGTTAAATGAATGAATGAAACAAATGGGATGGAGATGCCTGGCTCCCACATAGGAAGCACAATGGCTCGTCAGCCTTACTGGGACCCCAGGCACCAGCACCCCCTCTCCCAATGCCCAGAGCCCGCCCCCAGCAGTACGAGAGACTGGATCAGAGCCGGGCGCCAGACGGGGGTGCTGTCGCGGCGGTGGGGGGCTGCAGGGAAGCCGTGGCATGCGCAGCAGCAGAGCCCCCAGCTGCGCCCAGCATCTCCTCGGGACACGGCACCTGCCTCACTCACTGCCCGTCAGTCTTCAGCAAACGCTGACCGGGGACCTATTGGGTCACAGGTCCCAGAGGTTCACAGAGAGACACCATGGGCTCGGGCAGGGATTCCAAACCTCGATGCTAATGCTTCCTTTGATATTTCCCCAGGAGCCCCACTTTTGAAATATTGGTTTTTTATTTTTAATCAAGCAAACTGAAAAAAAAAAGAATTTAATTTCCTTATTTTCCTTTAATAAAAAAAATCCCTACCCGCTAATCACAGATTCCTCACCAGCAGGAGCTAATAACCGCTCTGACCACTGACTCTATAGGATTCCAGCCCAAAGCAAAGGAACCTGACATTTAACTTCGTCGGTGTGACCTTCTAACAGGTAAATGCAGGATCTTCCTTGATCCTCCTAGAAACAGGATCGCCGAGGAAGACTGCTGAAAACAGACTTCGCCTAAACCAACCCTGCCTTGTGCAAAGACACTAAGCCCCAGAGAGGTTAAACATCTGGTCCAAGGCCGTCAGGCATGGGAGGCCAGGCCCGGGTGGGTCTCGGTGGCATTCGGTGAAAGGGTCCGTGCTGCCACCGCTCCTCCTTTCTCCCAGCGCAGAAGCGAGGCTGAGCCCACCTCTCCCACCACCTCCCTCCTGGCCCTGAACCCTACGGACAGGGGCATACCTGCTGCCGCTCCGCTGGGGTCAGCGTGGGTGAGATGCCCGCCGGCCTGCTGGCGTCCATGCTGTTCTTGGTCAGTGCTAGTGGCTGCTCCAGGCTGAGGCCGGGCAGGGACGCGAACAGCTGGCCGCCGTGCAGGCTCACGGTGGGGGCCACGGCACGCTCGATGGGGCTGCGGCTTCGCTCCCGGGGGTCTTTTCGGCAGTCTCCATTGGCAGTCTTGCTCCTGAAAGAGGGGGAAGAGCGCTCAGACGGGAATACCCGGCATGCCCCAAATGACGAACGGGATGCCGGCCCTGAGCCAGGCGCTGCACGCTCATGATGTCACGGAGTTCTCCACCGCGTGGGGAATAAAGACTTAGCAGCGTTTCCGTTTCCCGAGGCTCAGGTCAGACAGCTCACCGGGAAGCTGAGGAGCCCCAGTGCTAACCCAGGTCGGCGTGACTCCAAAGCCCCTCGGGGGCACCCTCCGCCCGGCATCCCCCCCACCCCACATCAGAGCCCTTCTATAATAAACTCCACGGGCTCGGGGCCTGGAGAACTAGCCTGCGTGCTCGGGGCCGGCTCGGCTGGACATGGATCTGCCATTCAAAAGGATGAAGAGAACGATGACGCAAAGTCACCAGACACCTCCTATGGGGTGGATCCTGTTCTGGGCCTCCAGCAGCATGAGCTCTCCAGATCTTCCCGACAGCACAAAGGAGATGCCAGAGCTACCTTTCCAGGGGACAGAACCGAGACTCAGGGCAGCGGAGCCACGGCTGGTAAGGGGTGGCATCCCCACAGCTCTACCATCCGGAACACACCAGCCACAGCAGTCGGCTTCAGCAGAGTCCCGGAGACCCCTGCCGCATGTGTAGCGCTTGGCAGGTGCTGTGGGGAACACGGACGGGGCCGCCAACACCACCCCTCCCCGCGACCTGAGTGACCTCAGCTCTGCAGCATCTGCTAGAGAACAACTGGTTGGGCACAGCCGATCAAAGACCAGGAACGCCGGTTCGGCTCAGCTCCCTCCTGCCCCGTTTATTGCAAGGGTTCCTTCTGCCTTGGGTCTTGGCCCCTTCCATCCACCATGGTCTTTGCTGCCGGCACCATCTTTTTCTGATAACAAATGAGAAGTCTTTTAACTAGAAATGTGGCAGATAAAAATTTCAGTGACTTTTCTTTAAGGAATGCAAGTTATTCTCAGAGTCCACAAGCAACCATTCTCTTGCCTCGGTGGACAACCTGTTTTATAGCAGAGACGCCTAGGCTCACGCACTAAGAAACCCAGAGAAAGCAAAAGTCACAGCCTGCCTCACTGCCTGAATAAGATAAAGGTTGGAATTTTATACACACGGGCAGGTGCAGGTGGGCAACGGGCACGCCTTCTTCCATCGTAGGCTCACGTGCCCTTGTAGGAAAGAATACAGAGCGGTTCCGTGTTCCCTTTGCCCCGTCCCCCCAATGGCGACGTCTTGGAGAACTACAGTGTAACACCACAGGCCAGCGACGGACACTCAATCAGCCAGCCTGACTCAGATGTCCTGTGTTACTTGTATTCCTCCACCATGACCTTTCTATAAAGCAGATCAAACCACATCACGCCCTTAGTTACAATTCTCAGTAGCTCAGCACCCCTTCTAGGCCTTTCCGATTCTGGTCCTGACCACCTTTCCACCCTCACGCCCCCAAGCATGGTGCTCTGCAGTTACAACAGTCTTCTTGCCATTCCTCAAGCAGACGTGCCACTTTCAGCCTCTAACCGTGTCTGTGCCCCCCGCCACACGCAACCCACTCACTGCTAACCGTGCCCAGCCCCTAACTGCGTGTGTCTGTGCCCCCCCACACACACACAACCCACTCACCCCCCCCCATCCCCGGCCCCTAACCGTGTGTGTCTGTGCCCCCCCACACACACACACACAACCCACTCACTGCTAACTGTGCCCGCAGCTTTAGCTGCTGTGCCCTGGATCCCTGAGCGCCCTGTGCACACCTTTCATCAGGAACCCATCACACCACTATGAGCAATGTCTTCATCTCTGCACCGCCCCCCGACTTCCCCGGGGGCTTCTGGGAGCGCACCAAGCCTGCGCACCCTGCACTCTCCTTGCCCAGCACGCCGCCTCGTGTGGCAGGCCCCCCGGGACCACGAGCGAACACAGAGAAACAGCACACAGGTGACCGGGGCTGGCCACGGAACTGAGGACGGGCAGAATCGGGAAGATGTGAGGGCTGGGGAGCCAGCTGCAGGGGTGTTCGTGCCCTCCGGACGGGTGCCGAGCCTGGGTCAACATTTCCTGCTAAATACACGTTTCATCACACTAGGAAAAGGTGACATCATCACAGTCCCCATCCTCAGTATCAGGTTTCCTTCTCAAGTTGGATAAAATACATTTGACAAGGTACGTAAACTGCCCCCGACACAACCTTCCCCTGCCCGCCGCCTGCCAAAATGAGCTCTGTGGAGGCCGCTGAACGGACCGTAGGACTGATGAGCTTCCCAGCCCAAATCCGCCTCTGTCCAAATCAGACTCCGGTTTCTCAAGCAAAGTTAACTGAGCCCCAATTTTGTGAAGGCTACAGAAAGGGAGACGCAGCTCTGCCTTCTCACAGGCTTGTGACCCAAGGGGCAGCTACAGCACCAGAGAGCCAGACGGGCCCTGGATGGAGGCGGGATGCTGGAAAGAGTCGAGGGATGAAGAGCCGCCCAGGGCTGGCAGGACGGAGCAGCCGCAAGCTCAGGCAGCACCTGTCTCCATCCAATGTCAAAGTCACCAGCACACACATAGGGCAGCACCCATCCCCCAAATCTGATGTCCAAGCGGCACTTCAGTATTAGTAGAGTGCGGTGATGTGTATGAACCTGGCGGAGCCTCGGGACAGCGAGACACGGCCTGAGGACCAGTAAACCACATCACAGGGGAAAGACACGCCCCAAGGCAGCAGTCCATTTGGGGAAGGTCCAGTCGACCCCGGGTTCGACGGGCTGGCAAGCTGCTCGGCGGGACTTCCTCAGCGAGGCTCCGTGACCCTAGCTGTGTGCTACCACAGCTCTAGAATTGTCTCAAGGCATCCAGCTAACACGGCAGAGGTGAAGAGAGGCCAGGGCCATACCCACAACCTGCGCCCCCGAAGACCTGCTCTGCACCCACACCGCCCCCGGGAGCAGGGAAGAGGACTTTGGGAAGCTAACCCAAAAAGCGGTCAACTGCAAGCATGACGCAGTGGGGCCTCACAGATCAGACAAGACAAACACAGAAAGAAAATGTCTGAAGAACCCGGTGTTCAATTTTAGTAAAATTATACATTACTCAATTTTCCAGCTCATTTTCCTGGTTCCCGGAGCTTAAAGACAGACACTGTTTTCCATGTTTCCCCCTCCTCCAGTGAATCATAGCCCAGGCTCCACGGTTTCCCAGAGAATCATGTGCTCACGGACAGCAGACAAACCACACGCTTCCCGCCCGGGAGATCCAAGCCGCCCCCGTTCTAGTTAAAGACAAAGTCTGCTCATGAAAAACCAACTGCAGCCCCGTCGGGGCCCAAAGGGCTTCCAGGTGCCAGGCAGCTGACTCCCGGGACCCCAGCCCCTCGCCGGGAACCCGCACTCACCCGGGGGCGGCACCGCCACTGCCACTGTTCGAGGACGGGAAGCAGACGAGGGGACAAACGTGGAGAGGTGGTAAAAAGGAGGATGCCTGCTGCACGCTCCTCCAGGACAAAGTGTTCCGGGAATGCCCTCCCCGAGCCGAGAAGCCAAGTGTCCACTGTGTCTGGGGGAAAGCGCCGTGAGACAGCAGAAGAATCCATCCATCACGTGAAAAAAAGTGCACTGTGTCCATCTGTATTCTCATTAAAATGAGGTTTTCCTGCCCTTAAACAGGGGCTCAGAGTTGAAAGCAAACCCTTGGGAAGGCATTACTTGTTATTCTGGGGCCTCAGCTGAATTCCATGAACTATTGACAGCTATTCAATAAACCAGTATGAGCCTGAATTCGGCCAGCAGGGCAAGGGCTATGGGCAGAAGACATTTTAGTCAGTGCTCTCGAGGACACATTCTGGGCCCCGCACCTCCCCGCCGCCCGCCGCCTCGTGCTGCAGGTCTCTGGGCCCAGGTGAACGAGGCAGGGCCCAGTCAGTCCCCGCAGGAGCAAACTGAAGGTGTGCCACAGCCTCCGCGTGCACAACAGTGGGGTGCAGACCCCGAGCAGTGGTGAGGCCCTGGAGGGGGGCAGGGGACCATGAGGGGAGGGTCAGAGCCAAGACATAGGCCTCTCCCCAGCACAGTCCTCCCGCTCCCCTCCACTCCTTACTGGAGTGGTCGCCCTCTGGGAACCCACAGGACAGTAACAAACTTTCACGGTCCAGCACAAACAAGAAAAGTAAAGTCAGGGGGCTCCTGGGTGGCTCAGTCGGTTAAGCGTCTGCCTTCGGCTCAGGTCATGAGCCCAGGGTCCTGGAATCGAGCCCCGCATCGGGCTCCCTGCTCCAAGGGAAGCCTGCTTCTCCCTCTGCCTGCCACTCCCCCCACTCATGCTCGCCCGCACGACTGCACACGTGTGCTAATAAATAAAATCTTCAATAATAATAATAATAAAGTCCATAAAGCATTTTTAATTTTAAAAAGCTTCCTCAGACAACATACTTAATGCCACTGAATGCTACACTTAAAAATAGCTAGAGGGGTTATGCTGAGTGAAATAAGTCAGTCAGAGAAAGACATGTATCATATGACCCCCTGATATGAGGAATTCTTAATCTCAGGAAACAAACTGAGGGTTGCTGGAGTGGTGGGGGGTGGGAGGCATGGGGTGTCTGGGTGATAGACATCGGGGAGGGTATGTGCTATGGTGAACACTGTGAATTGTACAAGACTGTTGAATCACAGATCTGTACCTCTGAAACAAATAATGCAACATATGTTAAGACAAAAGAAAAAGAAGAAGATAGGGAAGGGGGAGTAAGTCGGAGGGGGAGACAACCATGAGAGACGATGGACTCAAAAACAAACTGAGGGTTCTAGAGGGGAGGGGGGTGGGGGGATGGGTTAGCCTGGTGATGGGTATTAAAGAGGGCACGTTCTGCGTGGAGCACTGGGTGTTATGCACAAACAATGAATCATGGAACACTACATCAAAAACTAATGATGTAGGGGCGCCTGGGTGGCTCAGTTGGTTAAGCGACTGCCTTCAGCTCAGGTCATGATCCTGGAGTCCCGGGATCGAGTCCCGCATCGGGCTC